CCCTGAGAAGGCGCTGCGCAGTGCTGGCTGAGCTAACAGATTGCCTGTTCATGCTCCACACGGCCCTTGCTACTCCCTGGAACTGCCTGTCGGTGCACCTGTTGCTTGTCACTATCTGAGCCCCACACATGTCGGCTCCACGGCAGCAATCTTCTCTGAGTCTTGGGGACTGCCACATGCTCAGTAAATGTCTGATGCAGAAATGAACAAAACCCAGAGCTATTCTTGGAGAAAGCAAGGCCATATGATCCTAGAGGTCATGGCAAGCGCACGTGAGAGCGCCGTGGATGTGTCCCTTAGCATGATGAAAGGAAGACCAGGACCCTCAAGCACACTGTCTGCGGCAGAGCAGGATCATGAGACAGCCGCCCCAGTCAGCAACGGGCACATATGAGATGCCGTTTTCAATGGGAAGATCTTCCCGGTGGCTGTGGAAAGTACAGCAGGGGATGTCAGGCAGCCCGAGTTTCTATGCCAAAGAAAAAGAACTAGCTTTAGGTTGGGCCTAACACAGGTCCTTTCAGAGGAAGCTCCAAAAGTTCATGGACAAGTTAGAAGCCAGACACTAGATCAGGAAGCTGTCACCTTTTTAGCCAAGTAATGAAGTGTGGTAACGAACACTTCCCATAATTTATTCATCTACATACAATGTAATTCTACCAAAAAGCAAAATGAAAATCAACGCTGAACCCACTAAAACCCTAGAAGGTGCTGAGCAAACTACTCTGACAAGGAAGGTCAGCCTGTACCCACTATGACCTGCCAGAGTCAGAGGGGACGTGGTCATCAGAGGCAGGATTCCGTGGGGATGCTCCCCAGTTACCTGGTCTGACTCGGAGCCTAAAGTCCATCTGGCCAGGGGTCACGGAGCCCTGGTGGACTTCCTGGGACAGGGTGGGAAGAGGGAGAAAGGGAGCAATGAGCAGACAGCGCTGCTCCATCTGACGCCGTCCCCATGGCTCCCTGACCCACATCACACGGAGATGTGAAGGCTCAGGGGCTCGTGCCTCTGCTCCCGTCTTCCATGCTGCACAACGAGCTGCATTCACCTGACACCTGCAGGAAGTCCCAGTCTTCAGAGGCTTCCCAGGCCCCACCCAGATGCCTGCGCAGGGCAGGCTTGTTTGGGGCAGAGCCTGGGGAGCCAGGGAGGGACCAGCAGGGCCCTCAGGAAAGGGTGGTGGGATGGGGGTGGCCTGGAGGTGCTCACTCACTGCCCAGAGGCTGGATGTGCACATGAATCCAGACCAGCAGGAGCTGGCACCACTTTACATGGTGGCGGTCATTTCTCAAAAATGCACATGAAACCCAACTTCCATTATACATGCTCTGGGACCTTCTCTTTTAAAGAAGCCAGGAGTTATTTCTCTTTATAAAGTGAGGAGTGGGACACAGGGGAAACAGTATGAGCTTTAGAAGCAGACACACCTGAATCAAAGCATGGCTTTACCAGTGCACTCATTCAGCCAATCATTCCTTCAAAAGCAGTTGAACAGTGCTCACTGTTCCAGGCATAACAAGAATGAGGGAGACGCAATGGTGAATTTTCCATGTCAATTTAGATAATTAAGTAACTTCTCTCAGCCTCAATTTCTCATCTATAAAACATGAAAGATATTACTTTGCAGGTTGTAGTTTCTCGTGACAATTGAAATAAGGAAATGGTTTCTGGCACATACTAGAATTTTTTATATTGGGGATTATAATAACGATGTCCCATTCACATATCACGAGAGGTTTTTTTTTTCTTTAAAGTAAGACCTACCTATTTACAATGAGCTACAATAACGTTATTCTCAGCAAGGTCCCCATGTAAATATCTCTCTCGCACTAAAAGATTAAATTTCTACTCAAGCTCATTAAGATGGAGAAATCAGCTCAAGCTGTGAATGGTACAGCTCTGCACAGCACAGGACTGGAAGTCCACCTGTCACTACAGAACCTGTGGGTCTTTGCTCTGCCTCTTGGGACTCCACTTTCTCCATCTGTGAAATGGTTCTAACAATGTCTTGCCTCCTTTGCAGTGCTTCTGCAGAGACTAAATGCAATAAATGATATGAGAATCTTGCAACTTAAAAAACTAAACAAAGCTCAGATGCTATCCACCTAGGGGGCTGAGTTGGGTCTCTCATTTCATGCAGTTAAAAGGGTAGGCTGGGGGATAGGGAGGGGCGCACGTTTGTGACTAAAGAAAAGAAGCAGTTTTCTGTTGGTGGCTCAGCAAGGAGACGAGGGGTGGAAAGGACGGGCCGAGTCAGCTCCAGTGCAGCCCACAGCCTGAAGCCTATGCCCCGAGGAAGGAAGCTGAGCAGAGAAGCTGAACCCCCGGGGTTACCTGCTTGCCCTTCACCACGTGCTTGGGCACGGGCACCTTGAGCTCCAGGTCGGTGTAGTCCTGAGACCAGGTGTAGTTCTCACGCACAGCACCGTTGTAGCTGTCGGGGTTTCTCTGGAACTGCTCCTGTCTCCTGAGAAAGAAGAAGAGACAGATGACAGCCCAGGCCCACACGCAGGACAGGAAGGCCACAGGATACCCAGTAACACACTGTCTTAGGGCCCAAAGAAGTTTTACTGAAACACACTTGTTTTTGCCTTTTAGACTCGCTCTCTGGGAGATTTCCTTTCTGACCCTCCTACTGGGGGCCTCCTGGGAAATCAAAGGGAGGAGCCACAGAGAAGATCCTGAGCACAGCACCCTCAAGGTGAGGAGAAGCACCTGCCCAGCACAGTCCACAGTGCAGCCTCCGGGTTTCAGGAAGCTCAGACCAGGCCAGTCCACTCACCAAAGAGCCTCACTAATAAAATCCTGGGGCTTGGGGGGTGCCATAAACTACTTGGCAGGGCTTATCTTTTAAAAAAGGCAAAGCAACTTCAGCCTGCAGCTGCTCAACTTCAATCCTAATCCAACCCCCCAGCCTCCATTTTCTCCTGGTAAATAAATCAAAGCCAAGGCAATGCACTTGACTGCAGGCTTTCTTAAGATGTGAGCAGTGTGCTTATGAGACAGCCTAGAAAACCCAGTCAGCCAAATCCTCCTCTACATGCGTTACCAACTCAGCTCAGATGCAGAGAGCCATAACCAAGAAGCTGATGTTAAAAAACAGAGAAAAAACAATAAAATACCGCCATAAAACTTAAGTGTTAATAACAGTATAAACACCATACAAAAATAAGTTTAGAGTCCATTACAGAGCGTTTGAGATCTAAATTAAAGACAGAAACCTAGTCGCAGAGGAGACAACAACACCTATGAGCAAGGACATCTCACAGCAGGTGCAGCTCGGCCACCTTCTGCCCTCGAGGAGCCCAGCAGATGCACCTGGAGGGAGAGGCCGACGGACAGGACTCCATTCACTGTGTGTCTGCATCTGTGCAGATGAAAACACCTGGGGAAGGGTCGAGAACACATGCACCCTATCAGCCCCTCATCTCTGGTCAGGAGGGGTCAGGAGTAGTGGTTAATGAGGACACATATTTTCCGGCTAAAGTTTTAAGCCAAAAACATGTTTACTTCCCGTGGGTACGACATACACACTTTATATTGTATATACCGTGAGGCTGGGCCTCCAACAGAGCCCAGGCTCTCTGGGCTGGTAAAATGGTGACTGTTATGGGCTGAACTGTGTCCTCAAAAATTAATATGTTGGAAATCATAACCCTGTGCACTTCAGAACATGCCTTATTTGGAGACAGGGTCTACAGAGATGTAATCCAGTTAGAATGAGGTCATCAGGGTGAACCCTGATCCAATGTGACTGTGTCCTTAAAGGGAACAAGATCTAGACACAAAGGCAGACATCACAGAGGGAAATTGTGAAGAGACACGGAGGAAAGATGGTCCCCTGGTGACGGCAATGCAGCTGGAAGCCAAGGAACGCCAAGGACTGTCAGCCATCCCCAAAGCTGGAAGAGGCAAGGAAAGATTCAGCATCTCTAAGGGAGAGCAGCCCTGGGACAACCTGACCCTGGACTTCTGCCTCCACCGCCACAGGAAGTTGAATTTCTGTTGATCTAAGCCACCCAATTTGTAGCAGTTTAGGCCAGGAGTAGGGCTAGGCACTAACCAATCAGAACAGACGCCAGCTCCAACTACCCACTCGGGCCGACCAGGGAGGGATGGCAGGCCCCTGTGAGACCGAGAGCCACAGAGAGAACAGGGTGGGGCAAAGGGGACAGGAACGGTCAGAGCCTAGACACAGGGTAGTCAGGGTAAGCTTGATGTGGATGCCAACAATGCAAGTGTTTACAAAGACTGTTCAGCAAAAAGAGGAAAGGTTTCAACATACTACAAAACTGACAGAGTATGCAGTTTTTGTGTATGGTATAGGTTCACTTTTCTAAGAAAACCCTGTGTGTGTGTGTGTGTGTAAAAGGATGCCCATTAAGTCTCTCTGTCTCTGGGTAGCAGGACAATAAGCAGTTTGACTTGATTTTTTGTATCTTTAGGTATTATCCAAATTCCCTACAACATGTAGACATTTTATCATCAAGAGAAAAAAAAGCTCTTTAAGAACACATGGAGAGGAGATGGTGATCCGCCCTGTGGCCCCCACCCCTGGGGGTGCTCCAGTGGCCATGCCAGCCTGCTTGCGTCCTGAGCCCCTGAAACAGGTGCTAGAGGATGGGGTGGCCAAGACCTCCAAGTCCCTGACCCACAGGCTTCCTCCCCACTTCAGTACCTCCTGCAGCAGAAAAGCTCACATCTGACGGATGCTTGAATGTGCTGAGAATCCCTCCAACGAGCACCAAGTAACAGGAAGGAGCCGGGAGGAGCCCTGACCCTCCCCTCACAGCCTTCTCCGTATGGCCTTTTGAACTGTGTGTGTATGTCACCTGTTTGAAATTAAACTTATAAAACTGTAAGTAAAATACCTACAGACAAAATAAAAGCCACCACGGCCTGGCACCTGGCAAAGATTAAGAAATAAACCTAAAGACCCCTCAAAGTGGGGGGACAGCTACTTGGCTAAGCCCTTATCAGCTGGTTTCCACATGGCCCCTTGCACCAGGCCAGACAGCAGACTAGCAGGTGATGGGAGATGCCACAAGGTCACACGTCCTCAAGGGGACACCCTCCACTCCACAGGTGGCTGTGCTGAAGGAACTCCCCAAGAGCTGGCATTCTCCGAGGGGCCCTGGTCACTCAGCACCGCAGGTGGGCAGCTCTGTAGGCACTCACCCCAACTCACCCTGCAGGGACCTGCAGCCTCTTCCCAGCCGAGCCAGGAGAGTCACTCCCAGCACAGACCAGCAAGCTCTTGGGTGTTTTAACACTCAAAATCCACATCCTCTTTAAATAAAGTTGATTATTTCCAGCCAACATTGTGAAAAAATAAGCCCCCTGTCATGTACAGGTGCTCTGGGCCCCCGCCCTCACTGTGTCATTCCTGACCAGCCTGCAGCCACATCTCAGCGGCTGCTGGCCAGCACCCAGGGTGAAAAGGGGGGCAGGAGGGCGGGGGAGTGGGAAGGGAGAGAGGAGGAGCGTGAGTCAGCAGCCAGGGTGCAGACTGGGGAGCAGGCCTCACTGCAGCGCCCACGTCTGAGGAGCAGGATCAGCCCAGGTAACAGGTTGTAACCATGTTAGAAGAAAAGCCAGGCCCTGTGTCTCCCAGGGACAGGCTCTGCTGAGCAGGCGCCCACAGTCAGTATCACCGGCACAGGTGGGAGATGAGCTCAGGTCCCCACACTGCGGCGGCGTGGGAACCAGAGGGCCGGGTTCAGAACAGCCAGTGGCAAGTAAGTATGAGAAGTAGTGGATAAAGGGGTCACAGCCCCCAAATAAAGGCTTTTGTGCAGGAGGCTAGAGCCCACCCAGGGAATGGGTGATAATTCCCTTGCCAGGCTTCCAGAGTAAGAGGTGGTTTCCCCTCAAAGTGTAGACAGGTGCTAGCCCAGTGCTCACCAGGTTCCCGGAGCCAGGAAAGACCTGCTTCCACCCTGAGAACATCCTGACTCCAAACACTCACACCTGCCCCTCAAGATCTAACGCAAAGGCCACCTCTCCACGGTCCTCGGCCGTGCCCAGCTCTGGCCACACCTCCCCACCCACCTATAGACCCCACTGCCGCTGCACCCAGTGGGAGAGACCAGGGCTTGTGCATGCACAAGCAAGCACGTGGTGTGCATGAGTATGCCGTGTGAATGTGTGTGCTGTGTGTGTGTGTGTGCTGCAAGCGTGCATGGTGTCTATGTGTAGCATGCGTGTGCATGATGTGGGCGCACTTCCACGTGCACGTCTGTACATGTGCATGTGTGATGTGAGCCTGTGTGTGGAGTGTATAAGGCAGTTAATAGGCAGTGGCTCATTCTCTCCCTTCACAGACCAGCTCCGTTTTTCTTACGGACTTCCTTCCCTTCTCTCTGATTCCACCATATCCCACACCTGGATGGGAGCCACAGCTGTTTGGAAATACAGTGATACTTCTTCTGGATTTCTGCATTTCCCAAGCTACATAAAGGTGAGCATTGTTATCATAACACTTGCCCACCTTGGAGATCCAAATCCCGGCTTCAGAAGCCTGGCACCGATTGCGCCCTCCTGGAAGCAGGGCCGTGGGCAGTGTTCTCAGCACTGCGATGTGACTGGCGGTGCCTGGATCCCCAGCTGCTGTGACTATCTGGGAAGGTCACATCATACCAAGTCACACCTCACCTCTGCAGCTTAGAAAGGAAAGGGTCAGACAGCAGTATGTAGCCACGTGGCCTGCCCAGATGGGGGTCTGCACCAGGTGAGCCCACCACCCTCACCAGCTTCCTGCTACCAGGAGAGGGGACCTCCCTTCCCAGCAGCTCCTCCTCATCCTGCCGAGTCTCCTCTGGGGCTCCCCACCTGCAGAGGTGCCTTTCCAGTACCCATCTCTTCCCAGCTCCTCCAGCAATAGGAGCCAACACCACCAGGCCCCACACATGGGGCTCAGAGTCCTCCACACAGGGCCCCAGCGGTCACTGAAAACATCACTGTGTTCATAGTATTCAAGGACCAAGGCCAATCCCATGTCACTGGGCATGACCATGAGACCTGGAGCAGGCATGGCATTCTGGCCCCTGGTCCTCGACCACAAAAACGGGAACACTGACATCCCTGTCCCAAAGAATGGCCAAGAGGAGTAAGCAAGACAATCACGTAAAATGACAAAAATGGGGACCTTCTCAGGGTCAACACCCTCCTCACGCGCGGTCAATGCCCTCTTCAATGCTTTCCCACCCAGTAAGCAAGTCTCATCAGACAGCTTTTATCAGTAACAGGTGATTCTTGAACCACTGGGACACTTAGGGAGACAGGTTATGCATTTTGCCTAATAAATGTACACTTTTACCCTTGAGTTCTTTTTTAAAAATCTAGCATCAATATGTAATGGAAATATCTCTGCCAGTTATAAAATTCCGGTTTTTGAAGTGAAAAAATAGTGAATGAAGGGCCACAAATGGCAAAATATTCCATTTTGTGTTGTATTCCACTGCATACATATGTATGATGTGCACTTAGGATGCCTCCGTATCTTGGCAATTATAAACAATGTTGCTGTTAATAGCAGGGTGTATGTATCTTTTTGAATTAATTCTTATTTTGTGGTTGGTTTCATTCCTTTGATAACTATGTAAGTTTAAAAAGCTAAAGCTCTCTAAAAGTTCTTAGAAACAATGAACAGTACATATATGTAAATTAAAAAAATATGTGCAGTAAAAAAAAAAAGATGTAACAAGCCATGAAAGACATGGATGAAACTTAAAAGACATATTACTAAATGAAAGAAGCCAGGCTGAAAAGGCTACAAACTGTACGATTCCAACCAAATGACATTCTGGAAAAGGCACAGCTACAGAAACAATAAAAAGATTGTGGTTGCCAGGGGAAAGGGAGGGAGGGAGGAATGAATAGATGGAGCACAAGGGATTTTGGGCAATGAAATTATTCTGTATGACACTACAGTGGTGGCTACATGTCATTATGCATTTGTCAAAACCCACAGAATGTACATCAAAAGTGAACCCTAATGTAAAGTATGGACTTTGGTTGACAATAACATGTCCATGATGGTTCATTGATTGTACCAGATACGCCACACTGATGAGGGATGTTGAGGGTAGGGGAGTACATATGTGTGGGTGGGGAGGGCTACGTGCAAACTCTCTGTATTTTCTCAATTCTGCTGTGAACCTGAAACTCCTCTAAAAGAAGTCTTTGTTTTTTTAATCTAGCATCAATAATTTTATCTACACTGGTATCACCAGTGTAGCCTCTGCCACCGACTGGTCTCCCCATTCAGCAGCAGGCCTGCCTCACCAACAGGACCAGAGGCTCCAGAGAGGTAGCCAGGCCCCAGCTGGCCTGAGCTTTACTACCCCTCCAGTGTGAAGATCCACTCAAAGCGAGGAAGGTCCCATGGAAGGGACACATGAGTCCCCAAAGGACTCCGGCTGGCCAAAGATGGGACAATCTGAGCATCAAAAAGAATAATGTCCACAATGGCCTGATGTTTAAATGTTTAAAGGTCTATCAGCTCATAAAACAAAACCCCAGTGGTCACCTTTGGTGACCAGAGTACAGCACAGTCTGAAAAGTAATAAATAAAATGCTTCTATAGGAAGTGGAATTTCAGAAAAGCCAAGTCCCTCTATAAGGCTTCCACATAATACAGGAAGGTGTAACAGGATGAGAACATCACCATTTTGTAACTTACAGTGGAAACACGCTTCTCGGCAGCATTCCTTCACGCATGCTGAGTGCCAGGTAAAGGCTGATGGGAGCTCACCCAGGGGAGGAGCTGGAACACCACCAACATCCACAACGGCCAGATACCAGGCACTTTCTGAGAGTGCCTCACCTTTGTGAAGTTCTGTCCCAGCGCTGAGCCTGAAATCCATTCCAATCCACAGGTCTAACCCCCAGATTACAGGGAGTACGAGAGGAGAGAGTATGTTCATTGACATATGAACACAAACCCAGGCAAGTCCAGAATTTGGAAAATTATAACAGACAAAGTTTCACGTTTCTTTACAAATAAATGGCATAAGATAAAAAAAACAGAAGGGGAATTAATCTAAATTAAGAGACTTAGAAGATGTCTAGCAACTAAATGTTATGTTTGGACCCACCGGAATGCTAATTTGAAAAAACCAACTGTAAGAAGACATTTTGAGACAATCAGGAACAAGTACACACAGACTGGGCATTAGATGAGTAGAGGGAATCATAAATGTATAAGTTATGCTAATTACATAAAGTTTAAGGAAGGCTCAGTTTAATTTTAAAAAGTCCTACAAGAAGTGTACTTTGAACATGTGCTTTTAATGTTTTAAAATTAATTCCGTAGCACAGTTGAAAATACAAGATAAATTCTATATTTACATAAAATAAATGAGGCAAGGTGCTTGGAGTCTCATAATATGGCCACGAAACATTTACGTAAATTTGGGAACGTCTTTGACAACCTGTATCAGATGGTCAATCAACAAACACGATCAGTATGTACTATAAATTCTCCTAATTAACTAATCACATAAGTTGGTTATAGCAAGACTTTTTCTTAAATCTTGTTAATTATTTTAACAAGGGAAAGAGGCATTCCAATTTTCTGCAAGCATATAAATGTGAAATATACATTTTAAAACAAAACTTAAGATAATCTACTCCACAAATATGCTGAATTCGTAGTCTTTAACTCAATTTTCTATTCCTAGTCCTCCTAGTTATGATTTTTCAGAAGTTATGACCAGCTCTACTACTTCAATTCCCAAGAGTCTTCTCAATTGAGAAATACAAGCATACCTCAGAGGTAGTGCAGGCCCGGTCCCAGACCGCCACAACAAAGCGAGTCACATGAATTTTTTTGGTTTCCCAGTGCATATAGAAGTTGTACGTAGTCTACACTACACTGTACTCTATCAAGTGTGTGACAGCACTATGTCTAAAAGCACATGTACATACCTTAATTTAAAAATACTTTATTGCTGGCAGGGAGGGTATAGCTCAGTGGCAGAGTTCTTGCTTAGCATGCATGAGGTCCTGGGTTTAATCCCCAATACCTCCATTAAAATAAACAAACAAACAAACAGACAAATAAATAAGAACCTAATTACCTTCCCCCCAAAAAATTTTTAAAAAATACTTTACTGCTAAAAAATGCTAACCATCATGTGAGCCTTCAGAGTCATATCTTTTTGCTGGTGGAGGGTCTTACCTCGACACTGATGGCTGCTGACTGATCAGGGTGGCGGATGCTGAAGGAAGGGGTGGCTGTGGCAATTTCTTCAAATAAAACAATGAAGTCTGCTGCATCCATTGACTACTCTTCTTTTCATGAACAATTCCTCTAGCAAGTGAAGCTATTTGATTGCATTTTACCTACAGCAGAACTTCCTTCCAAACTGGAGTCAATCCTCTCAACCCCTGCTGCTGCTTCATCAACTAAGCTTATGTACTCTGTTGTCATTTCAACCATCTTCACAGCATCTGCTTCCATCTCAAGAAATCACTTTCTTTACTCATCCGTAACAAGCAACTCCTCATCCATTAAAAGCCTTACAACTCTAACAAATACAATAATAATGAAAAAGTTTGAAATACTGAGAGAATTACCGAAATGTGACAGAGAGACATGAAGTGAACAAATGCTGCTGGAGAATTGCCACCTGCTTGATGCAGGGTTGTCACAGACCTTCAATTTGTTAAAAAAAACAAACAAACTCAGTACCTGTCAAACACAATAAAGGAAGGCACAATAATATAACGTATTGCTTGTAATTAGATCCGAGAAAACAACACTCAAACTTCTAGGAGCTACACATCAAAGGGGACACACCCAGCAACACAGCCATCTGTCAGACGCAGAGAACCTGTGGAGGCAGGGTAACATGAGAAGAGGTCCAGTTGGCAGTTAGGGGATCAAACAGAAACCAAAACAGATGCGTGTGTGAGAACCGAGCACTGCCACACACTCACCACAGATGCAGACTGGAAGCCACACCTCGCTGTGCCATCCACAGGCCTCAGCTCTTGCCCCCTGCCTGCATTAGCACCAACTTTTCATGACTGCAATTTTGCCAAAGAATCCCCAACTTTTCCACGGTTGTACATTCACCCCTCCATTGACACCTAGCCTCTGAATCCACCCTCAAAATGTAGTCTTGTAGTTTCCACCAATTCTGACTCACCTCGCCCAGTCGATAATCAAGACCCACATCCCTATCCAGAAGGAACCCTACTTTAAAATGACACCTGCACCCCAATGTTCATAGCAGCCCTACTTACAATAGCCAAGACATGGAAACAGCCTAAATGTCCATCAACAGATGACTGGATAAAGAAGAGGTGGTATATTTATACAATGGAATACTACTCAGCCATAAAAATAATGCCATTTGCAGCAACATGGATGTTCCTTGAGAATGTCATTCTAAGTGAAGTAAGCCAGAAAGAGAAAGAAAAATACCATATGAGATCACTCATATATGGAATCTAAAATAAAAAAACAT